AAGGAAGGTTAGTGATCACTTCAATAGTTTATCTTCACTAGAAACTTTCCTCAGTTTCACTTGTTATAAGCAACAACTGCACATAAAAATTGGGGCTCAAATTTAAAACATTTAGTGAAAAACAAAGCTTCATTGAAGAATTCTTTCTGTGGCATATATGATTTAATACTTTTATTGTCATTTTATTAGGTTTCTATTAACATGAATTTTGAAGATGCATATTGTTATGGGAACTGGTCTGTGTCGTCTAGCTGACCTTGAGAGTTAAAAATGAGTATTAGAAATAGAGAGAAATAGATGAAATGAACACATTTTCTTCACATCCATAAGTGAACATTTGTAGTATTTATCCCAGAATTCTCTTATGAAATTGAATGAAGTATGTTCTAGACTAGAGGAATAAATGTTATGCTGAACTTCTGGCTGTTTTAAAAGCAGTTGGGTGAAACTCTGTTGAGATTTGTGGAATATGCACACTGTGAGGCAGGCCTTTATATTAGATAAGAGAAACATCTGAACTTGGAACACGTGAGTAGGGCCACATTCTTTCCTTTGACTTCAGTGAAATTCTTAGTGATGGGATTTAGCTTTCTATTAATGTAAGGGTAACATTTCAACTTTATTTTTTATTATGATTTTAAATGGTATCAGAGTGAACACTATGATAAATATTGCTTGAGCTGCAGCTGTTAATAATAAGTTTTTATTCTTAAATGTTGAAAAACAATCTTGGCTTTCTAATTTCTAATAGCATTTCTAATAGCAATGTAAGTGCTATTATTATTATTTAAATTGCAGTTCTATTGCTTTTGCTTCCTATATTTAGAATATTTAGAAATATTTAGATTTAGAAGTTATATGCTTATATGTGTATATTTCCATAATCATTATAGCTTATTTTTCTTTATGTTTCTTTATGTTTTCTTTATGTTTATTTACCAGCATGTTACCCAAGTGTTTGTGCCTCATAATTTTTCTTACCATTTATTTTTTTCTGATATTAACATAATTATTTGAGTTTCTTTTAAATACATTTCTTAGATACACATTTTTATGTTTTTCTTTATCAAATGTTTTTCCTTGCTATTTTTTTTTTTTTTTTTTTTTTTTTTTTTTTTTTTTTTTTTTTAAAGCTACTTAGCCTTATTCCTTGCTATTTTTAAAAAGAATCTAGTTGACAGTATATTGTTGGGTCCTAATGTTTGTAACATCTAGTTTGAGAATCTCTTCTTTTTGAAGTGTGTTTAACCCTTTAAAATTATTTTAATTATTATAATATTGAGAGTTATTTTTGCTCTCTGTGTTTCATATATACTATATAATTTTATTTTTCTCTTTTTCCACATTTCATTTGATAAATCAGTATTTGTAGTTATGGCTTGAAAGTTACTTATTCTATTTTTATTCTTTGATATTATCCTTAATTCATTCTTGTTTGTTTTTCTCATTAATTTCTAATGCAAGTCTCCTCCCCAATGACTTCTTTTCCCCAATACTAGGAATTTTATATCCAGGGTTTTAATTCTAAGTCATAAATGTGCACTTATGAGTGTGTGGACATCATTGCTAGTTTAGACAAAATATTCTTTTCTAAGTTATTTATTCACTCTTATCTCTGTTTTTCTCTTATTTACTTTCTTCTTTGTGCTAACAGTATGTGAATTATTATATCCCCATAAATAACTCAATTAGTTCCTGAAATCCTTGAAAGCAGAGACTTTTGTGCTTTATTTATTGTTTTATCACCCAACATAATATGTGGAATATATTAGGAATTTGATATTTTTTCAATCGATGCTTAAATGAAGAACATTCTGTAGGCCACTTAGAACAGTCCTGACCATTGACATACATTGATTGAAGATTTAATGAATTTAAGGAAGTTGGACCATCACGGGCCATTAAGGCTTTAAATTATGGGTTCTTGTTGTTGTTGGGATTTTTTTTTTTTTTTGCCTGCTTTCCATGCCTTAATATTATTACGTGTTTCTTCTCCTTTGCAGTCAGATTTCATTCAAAAGTGGACACTCTGCTTCTTACAGCTCTTGCTTTCGAGTAGATTAAGCTCCCTTTACCTACTTTACAGTATGTTCAACTCATTTAAATTTTTTAACTTTATCTGCCTGAGATCTGGAGGTGCAAACAAACAAACAAAACAAACAAACACCAAAAAAGTAAAATCTTTTAACTTTGTTGTCTTAAGGCACTATTAGAAATGAAAGAAAGAGAAGAGAAAGAAAAGAAAAGAAAAGAAGAAAAGAAAAAAGTAAAGAAAAAGGAAAGGAAAAGAAAGAAGAGAGATATAGGTAGTCACCCTAAAAGAGTTTAAGAAAAACATCTTGAAGAATTTGACCTCAGTAGCTTCTACTTTGACTAACAGGATTTTCTTAGCCTATGCTAAAAGAGTTCAATAAATAATATCTCTGTTGTGAACTAAATTAATTTCTAATAAGAAGCAGGAAGTATTTAATGACTGAAATGTTAAAGAATCTCTTGAGGCAACCCACTTACAAAGGATTTACGAAACAGGGTGAAAGAGATAAGAGGCTCTCTTTTCCCATGTTGAGTTTCAGATGCTTTGAAAATGTTCTGAGAAAACCAGACACTGGAAAGATCTTGTCATGTCAGTTCTTGTGTCCTGCAAAATAGCCCAGTAAGCTTTCTTGTTCTAAAAAAGAAGCCCAGTGACCTAGCTAATCTTCAGGCACTGTACTCTTTCTTTAATGACTAACATTCATAGATTAACAGACTTCACTCCCTGGCTCATACTTTCTTATCACTTAAAAAAAAAAACAAACTTTTTAAGAATCCAGCTTTGACCCTCATCATTCTAATCACATTTTTCTTTGTCAACAATAACAATGGCTCTTGTCAATTATCTGTTTTTAAAAAACATTTTTGCAACTTTTGATACTGTTCAACAGATCTCCTTGACAGTCTCTTCTCCTTTGAGATCAAATAATATTGAATTTCATTTGCTATCTATTACAACCCCTTGTCTGGACTTTTTCTAACAAATTCTAAATGTAAGCATTCCTTAGAGATCTGTTCTTGTTTGTGTTTTGTTTTCCTTTTCTTCTTTAGCTATTTCATCTGATTCCTTGAACCACTTTGTGTATGGCTTTTAATAGTTTATCTTCACTTCTAAGTCCTCCCTTTAGCTTTAGACCTAAATTTCCCAAATCTCAAATATATAAGGATTAGGTTTATCAGTATCCTCATAAACATTTGCTTCTCATCATGTGTTCCCCTTTTTCATTAATGCTTCTAGTATGATCCCATTTATCTAAGCTCCTTAGCTCTGACAGAAAGGCGCCAATGCCTTCACAACCACGTTGTGTTAATCTCTGTTGTTTCTATCGTCCATGTCATTCCCCTTTGTCCCTACTTTCTGTTCATTTTGCTGGACCATTATGAAAACTTCTTAAATATTCTTGGTTCATTTGGCTAAAATAATCTTTAAGAGACATAGCAAGGATCAAATATTATAATTTTCTTGCTCCTTAAATCAAGATTTAATCAAGATTCAATAGGTTCTCACTGCCTATTGAATAACATCCAGCATCGCTGGCTTCATAATTCGGGCACTAGTTTTACACTTGCTATATTTTCTCTCTACTCTAATATGTATTTAAAATGTCAACCAAGATACACAATCAGCTTGTCCCCAAATTGTCTTTCTTTTTTTTTTTTTTTTTTTTTTTTGAGACAGAGTCTCGCTTTGTTGCCCAGGCTAGAGTGAGTGCCGTGGCATCAGCCTAGCTCACAGCAACCTCAATCTCCTGGGCTCAAGCGATCCTCCTGCCTCAGCCTCCCGAGTAGCTGGGACTACAGGCATGCGCCACCATGCCCGGCTAATTTTTTTTTTATATATATGTCAGTTGGCCAATTAGTTTCTTTCTATTTATAGTAGAGACGGGGTCTTGCTCTTGCTCAGGCTGGTTTTGAACTCCTGACCTTGAGCAATCCGCCCGCCTCGGCCTCCCAGAGAGCTAGGATTACAGGCGTGAGCCACCGCGCCCGGCCGAAATTGTCTTTCTTCAATTTCAAAATCTACACTGCTGAGAATCTTGTTGTTCCTCCTATTTATATTGATTGCTAAGTAGCTACCCCAATTTTAGTTTAATTTCCTCTAGTTTACTTTAGTACTTTATCTATATGTTTGCTTACTATTTAAGAACTACTTACGAAAATAATCCATTTAAATTTTGTAATAATGAGTTATAATTAGAGAAATACATACTTCCACTTCTTTAAAAACCAAATGGGAACACGGTGAGGGTGAGATGGTCACGTTCCCCCATAAGGTAGGCACGCCATCTAGTGACATTTCCATCACACTACAAACCTCGCCTCTGACACCTGAAATCTGAAGATCCACCTTCAGATTTTCCTCAAGGAATATGTCAAAACACATCTCCCCCTCCCCTTTTTTTTCTGATATCACATACTGCCATGAAAAAATAATGTGTATTGATAAAGTTTTTAATGTGGTTAAACACTTTAAACAATTAATTGAGAGTTGATCATATAAATAAGTTCAGAAAAAGAGAAAGACCAGAAATTCTCATCTTTGTTAATATTAATCAGTGATGCATATGGATCCACTTTGAAAGAAGAAATTTAGAGGAACGCCTGAAAGCTTGGATAAGTCTGTGATAAAGTGTGAGAAATTAATTTTCTCCTGAGATAATGTACATAACATACCCAGTAGACTAATATTAAAATAATAAGTGTTAGTTAATGGAAGAAGCATAATGGGCTTTGGAGGTAGATGGTTTGTCATTATTCCCTCTGTGTACTGGGGCACAATGCTCAGTCATTCAAAATGCCCATTTATGAATCTTCAATACCTGGTGAAAGATTACATGCCTATTTAGTAAATATGTGACCAAATTTATTACAAAATAAATCATCTATATAAGCCAGCCATAAGCTATATACAGCTTGTATCTATTATATTTTAAAAGTATTCTGAAAAAGTAAGTCTTCATACTTACAGCTTTCCAGTTGCATTATACATGTTTGTACATCCATTGGAAAATTCTTAAGATCCATTGGACAGGAAAGTGTTAATGTCAATCTGAAAGAATTCAATAGAATTATTTTTTTTATTTATTTTATTTTTTTATTATTATTCTTTTTTTGAGACAGAGTCTCGCTTTGTTGCCGAGGCTAGAGTGAGTGCCATGGTGTCATCCTCGCTCACAGCAACCTCAAACTCCTGGGCTCAAGCAATCCTCCTGCCTCAGCCTCCCGAGTAAGCTGGGACTACAGGCATGCGCCACCATGCCCGGCTAATTTTTTTCTACATATATATTAGTTGGCCAATTAATTTCTTTCTATTTTTGGTAGAGACGGGGTCTCACTCTTGCTCAGGCTGGTTTCAAACTCCTGACCTTGAGCAATCTGCCCGCCTCAACCTCCCAGAGAGCTAGGATTACAGGTGTGATCCACCGCACCCGGCCCAATAGAATTATTTTTAAAGGAAACTTATCACATCATATTAATATTCTGTTGTTTAAGGAAAACAATGTTTCTTTGGTGATGACTAACATCTATTCAAATAAAATTTTCTCCAGCTTAGGTGTGTTATATGAAATAGTTATTCTCCTGTATATAAATTTTTTTTAGGATGGGAGATAGTTCTATATATATAAACATACCATTATCTATCTATGTATCTATTCTTTTAGAGAGGGCTGTGGATGTCTGGAAGAATCTACATATCCAGAAGAGACCCCTCCCAAAAATAAATTTGAGAATGGGTTCTATAAAATTAATACCAAGTTCCAAAAGGTATCTTTCCACCAAAATCACATAGAATATTTGAGAGGCGAGTATATCAGAGGAATTGGAGTTCTAAACCTGGAAAAGCAGGGCACAAGGAAGCAATCCCAGGTGACAACTTTCAGTCATCTTTGTACTGAAGAAGTTGTCAGGAACATCCAGCAGTACTTAAAATTTAGTTATTAGAGTCAAATTCCTAGAGCATTTCACCAGATCTTGTAAGGGTCAAGAAATAGCTCTCTAGAATATCCATAATATAATTCCGTGCTCATCAAAGAAACTTCTGATTTGGCTTCACACAAAGGATAACCTGGGTGGTGCATATCAGCATGCTGCTCATTTGGAAGACTCTCCCTGCCCTTCCAAAGCCTATTAGTATGCTGGTATTCCAGAAAAATCATCACCCTTGAATTCTTCATGTTAGAAGACGATATTATCCAGATCGTTTCAGGAATTACCAAGAATTTGTAGTTCCTGGACCTGAGAGAGAGGGACCTAGATCCAAACTTAGGTTCATTCAAATGAAGTTCTTTTTTTGATAACTCTTTATGCAGCTTTTTTATTGAAAGTATTCCCATTGAAATTATTGAGCACCCTAGGTGGATGAGTTACTTAAACTTTAGCAGATTGCTTTAACACCGCTATACTGCAGTTTTCTTATCTCTAAAATGAAGATATTAATATTACCTACTCCAGAGAGTTGCTGTGGGCAATACATGAATTAATACATGTAAAGTACTTAGACAAGTGCTTGGCACATAGCAAACACTCAATAAATGTTAATTATTAATGATTATCAGTACATTCAATGGCTCCTAGACCTTTCATTTGCCCCTGACCCAAATTTTATAGTGTCTGCAAAAAGATGACTGAATCAAATCACATATAAGAACTATTTAAGCTTTAACAAAAAATAACCAGCAGCTCTACTCTATGTAACTACATTCTTCAAAATAGCATTTTTATGTAGACCAGATACATAAAGTTGTAAGAATATATATTCTACAATGAATACTCCTTAGTGTGTTGAGTCCAGTTAACATAATTTGAAAGACATAAATGGACAGACATGTGAAGCTGCTGACTTTTTAAATGTCTCAGGAGGATCGTTCAGTAATTCATTTGAATCAGCGGCCATTACACGCTAAAATAATTCATAGAGTTCATTGTTCAAAAGCAATTTTTCTCCTTGCTCAGCTAAGTTAAATGATCCTGGAAGTATGATCTTGAAGATTTACAAAGTTCTCTTTTAAAAAGTCAGTTGTAACATTGGACACAATGTTCTCTGCCTTGTGAAAGGGTTTATTAGAAGTGTATGCACATGTACATTTTGAGTGCACACATTAATTTTCCAAATATCCAAGGCTCTCAGCCAGACAGTTTCAAATGTTGACTTGCAGAATTAATTCTGTGACCTTTTGTATGGAGGTAAATAGCATTCTCAGAATCTTTTCCACGCTCTCACCATGCATGTGATGTCAAATTCTTACCCTGGCTATTTTTCTGGCATAAAATGAGAGACATTACATAACCCTTAAAAAAATAGCACTTGAAAGGAATTATTTGGCAAAGAAAAACACAGTTTGTAGAACTGCTGTCATAAATCATATCCTGAAAAAGATCTATTTATTGACTTTTCTTTCTTTTTGTTTAAGGTACAATTGCTCCTTTAACAGCATATTGATGAAAAATATGTGTCAACTTGGTGGGTGTGATACCAAATTTCTTTATCAAAACATTACATATAAATTAAAGATATGTCCTAACCACATCAAAAGAAAACAAAATCAAGAGGCAATTAATCACATTCTACTGTTTTGAAAATGAATGTCTTCTTGTGTAAGAAGGACACTCAGTTCTCTTTCTGAGACAAGACACATAAACAGGATATGGTGTTTCTTATTTTCCCTGAAGAAGCCTTGGCTTAGTGAAGTAGTAATGTTAAAAAAGATGATTGTAATCTGTGACAAACAATTGACCTCATTAAAATTCAATTATTGCCCATTTTTGAACAAGCTTTGCCTAGATTAAGGAGTCTACTCTGAACACTAATTGAATTAAAAAAAATGTTCTGGCTCTCATTATAGACTTTTTATAAAAATATGTATTTTCATTAGATTTAATATTTCTAAATTTAGTGTCATAAAACTAATGACCTCTAATTAGTAACTTAATAGTTTTGAAATATTGCCTGTGATATCATATTAGGTAACACATTTATAATGCTTGCTGTGCGATAGGGGCACTCTTCTAAACATTTTACATATGTTAACTCATTTACTCTGTACTACAAGCTTATAAGATAGATAGGAGATATTTACCCTATTTTGGAGATGAGGAAACCTAGAGGTAAATTTGCAGCCCTGAGAGTCTAGTTGTAGATATCATGCTAATAACTTGTAAGTATACTACCTCTCAAAAGCATCGGAACATTTTTCATGAAAATTGGTTCTGTAATTAATAAGCCATTCTAAATTTTATATTTTTATAACACAAGAAATGATATCTTGTATACACTATTTGTTACTAAAGTTAGAATAAAACATACATAAATAATTCTTCCAAGAGAAATCAGAGAAATATAATGAAACTATAGAAAATATAAGGATTTCCCTATGGAATTTATACATTTGAGTAGTTGGGTATTTTATTATGAATGATTATATAAAGAGCAAATAACTCTTGGGAGATTAGATTATTCAAGCAGTAGAAGGGAAATTAGAATTAGCTTCTATGAACTACTTCTGGAGTTTGGTTGTCATCTGATCATGGAGACAAAATAAATCTCAACAACTGATCACTCAGGCAATCTCCGTATTTAGGAAGCTGATGTAACTAAGCTATGGACCTCTTCACAAGAACATACATAATCACAGACATGCAAAATCTTCCTTGCAACATATATTCTATAACATTGTAAATTGATTTCCCTTAAATAAATAACATTTTAAAAAGTATCTGTCAAAGTAAGTTTGATTTCCTATTTAAAACTAAGGTCTGTCAACCTTCAAAAAATAAATACATATTATACAAATAAACTTCAATTCTTTTCACAATAGAATTTCAAACAAGAATTGATTATATTTAGCTTAAATAAAAGTTGAAATCATATGATTTTTGACAAGTTGCTGTGAATAGCATCTTTGGCATAAAATTTGATCTTAATGCAATAATGGTTCTGTAATATAAGTAGTAAAGTTACAAGTATTAGTAAAGTAAATAGTATATAATATTTAGTTGCCTGTGATGTGCTTCTATTACCTTGTGATAAGGATATTACCATCTGCATTTTGTAAGTGATAAAACCGAGGCTTAGATTAATAACTTACAAGAGTCCATACAATGTTGATTTATGGATTCTGGAAAACAACAGAACTTATGCATTAAATTTTGTTTTGTTTTCTTTTTGGAAAGATAAAAACAAGAACTTTAGTACCTATCATATGCCTAGCACTGTGCTGGGTGTTTTAAGTACTTTGTTTCAGGTTACGGTAATTGATATTATAACTATCACTATATACGAAAAAGGAGATTTTCACAAGTAAAGAGACCTGCCCCAAATCACAGCTAGTAAATAGCAGAGCCTGGATCTGCATTGGAAGATATAGTCCTCCCTGGGATTTTGGTTCTCCTGTACCTTTTGCTGGTGTACCAAGTCTGCAAGGCCCTAACCATTCTTTTATCTGAGGCATTTCTTGGGATTGTTTATGAAGCTGCTAATTTTGAGAGGTGAGTTAACATTGTTCACTTGCTTACAGCTCGCCATAAAAGTAGTTGGTTTCCCAAACTCTGTTCCACAGTTGTGACATAGACCCACTGTGTGTGTTATATTCATCCTGGCCTATTGCATTGTTCCAGTGAGACTTGAGGACATGGGAGAAGTAAAGCACATATGCTATTTATGCCACTTATTTATAATGAGCTATAAATTTCTCTGTCTCTGACTCAGGGCTCCAGTCAACATCCATGGAATAGTGATAGGCTAACTTTACAAGTAGGGTACAACCAAATCCCAAACTTGACAATCTGTAGTCACATATCTGGCTCTAAAGTTCTCACTTAAAAAGTACTTTATTTAAAAATTATCAATGTAATTCATGTATATCATCTGAAAGTTCAAACAGTTCTATAAAACATATAAAAATCAGTGAAACTTTGCCCTTCTGATCCCTACCCTGAGTTCTAGCTCCCCAGAGGTAGTCTTTCTTTACCTATTGTCTACCATTCACACTCATATACCTAAAGTTGCTGTAATATTATGCTTGACTTTTAAAATATTTGAAATTGTCTATT